TGCTGCTAAACTTACTGAAACTTACTGCTGACTGTGACTGTGGACTACAAATCCCAGAGGAACCTGGAAGTAGGAAGAGGAAGTGATGAGCAACCCTGGAGAGTCCTGCTGCTGTGATTCTGGACTGCAAGTCCCAGAGACCTTAAGGGCAGCAGGAAGAGGAAGTGAACACACAGCCCATGCTGGCTGCGTGCCAGAGAGATGTGCTCTAGTGCCCCCTGGCTTCTGGCCTGAGGCACTGCAGGCATGTGGCTGCATCCCCTGAATCAAAAGTAAGTGTGTATCCAGTTGTTTCTCAGTTTAATCTCTGCAGTTTAGACTAACCTGCAAAGACTGAATCAATTCAGTCCCAGGTTTTTTGACTGTACTTAGCCTAGGTGAAACATCCACATATAGAGAGCCCACATAGGGCCTAAATCCTCAAAAAGAGATTTACACAATATAGCCTAAAGCAAGTAGATCTGAGGTTTCTGTGATAAAGCCCAGGAAAGTTAGAGATGTGGCAGACCTCTAGCCAGTAAACACATTTTCCAAATAAATACTGCTCTAGCTTATACGTAGAAATGCAAGTTATGACAGTTTGCTTTCAGTGCTGACACACATTATTATGTAGTCAATCTTTGTGTTTGATGTTGTTAATACATACTGGAAATTGTCTGATGGGCATAGCTGGAACTGGATTTTCCTCTTCGTAATCCGCATAAAAAACATTATTGCCTGGGTAGCCAAACTGATTATGCTGAGGATATTGGTGGCTGAAAAAATGATCTGCTCCTGAAACTGGCCCTCGCAATGGCTGATGGAAGAGAGTGCTATCAAAATGAAATAAACAGGGCTTTAAAAATGTAGCTAAAATAAAAAGAAAATTATATGAAATTTCAGGCATTTTTAAAAATTATTTTTGTAAAAATAGAAACAGTCACACAGTTTTTGTATGGTTTAAGTCACAGCAATCACTAGATTAATTTTTTTTAACCATTTCACTTTACTCTTAGGCTCCAGTCCTACCAACACTTTACCATATGAGTTAATCTAGGCATATGAGTAATTCTTTGACTGTGAGGTTACTTAGATCAGAGAATCTGGTTCTAAATGCATGCACAATGAACTGAGCACAACGCAGCACCAATTTTAGTTTGGGCCCCACATAATATAAATGATGATTTATTAACAATACTTTAAACCTGTATAGTCATAAATCTATTTTTACAAGAATGTATATTATTAAATATGGCTAATATCATAACAAATGTGACGCCAGAGCAGGAAATACTAACCAAAGCTAGAGAACCCATACCTTTCTGTATTCTACTTATTTGCTATTAGAATGGAACATTACTTCTAGCCATTTGCCATTTGAACTAAATATATTATATTTATTTTTATATTATAATCAATTTCAATTATATTGTATTATCTTTTGAGTTATATTAAAAATAACTTTCCTATGGACCTTTTCCAACTTGACATACCAGTAATTTCTTTTATAACGTTATGAAGTATACTTTCTTCTAGAACACACTAATCTTTTAAAATCTAGACCAATATGAGATTTCTGATAGCAACAGGGAAGGTTAGAAGGCATTGTAGGCCTCCATGATATAAAACATATTTCAAATAAATCACAATATGTATATACTGCAAGTGTGGCTTATAAAGTTGCAAAATGTTTGTACTTGAAAGCCTTCCACTTTTTCTTTTAAAACATTGCTATCCAACTTCTTAATGGCTGGGGGCCACATACCCTGCCACACTAGTGGAGACTGCAAGCTGTGATGGCCCCATGCTGCAGGGACCAAACTAGGCTTTGTAGGCACTCCTCTGCCACACACAGCATGCAGACACTCCCTACTCCCTTCTGCATCAGGGAGGATACTCTACCCTCCACTGCACTGTGCCTGTGGGCAGAGCTGGCCTTAGAGGAGGGTGACATGGGTGGCCAAGGGCGCCCTCATCAGGGGGACACGAGGAAGGGCATTAGGGGAATGCCATAAACACACAAACACCAGCACTTTACCCCTGCCCTGCCCCAGCCAATCTTTGGCCCCAGCTGCTGCTCAGGAGCAGCCAGGATGGGCAGTGCAAGTATCTGCAGAAGCATATTCCCCACCTCACCATGATGGTGCCATGGAGATATCCACAGTGCTGGGGACAGACCAAGCTAGGGATGAGGGCCACCTGCATGAGCAGCTATGAGTGAAAGGTATGGTGCTGTGTGCAATAGTGTGGTAGTGTGTGCACAGGGATTTGATTGGACAGGACATGGTCCGAGCAAGTGTTTGATAAAGTTTTATGATGGGAATTGTTGCAGCCTGCATGAGGTAAGTGAGAATTTGATAGGAGAGTATATGAGCTGAGCGTGTGCTTGATACAAAACTTGATGTTGAGTAGGCCAGAGCATGAAGTGACTGGATGAGTAAGAAGGGGTGATTTTGGGGTATAAGAGTCTGAGTTTAGCTTGAATATGGGAGTAGGAGGAGGTTTGTGCTCCAGACAGAGAAGCTCTGGTGCGTGAAGTGTACTGATTCTGTTGCTGTCCTTGGTGGTAATGAGGTGAGCTCTTGGAGAATCGAACTTGGACACAGTCCTTCTCTAACTGAGCCCTTGGTAGTTTCTCTGCATGACATCCCTGCTGCTGTAGGAACCATAGCCTGTGGTAAAGTATCACTCTGACCCTAATGCCAGAACAGAGGACTTAGCCTCTGCTTTCTGTTGGGGGAGCCCAGAGAAAGTAAAGCTAAGGATCTGGAAGGCAGGGAGGATAGTATGCCTTTGCCTTAGTCTGTGGGGAGTCTTGAGGACCCATCTTTGTCACCCTAGATTAGTTGATATCTTGCAGTCCCTTCCAGCCCAATTTCTATTCTTCTAATAAAAGAACAAAAGAAAATTAAATAAAATAGAAAAGTTTAAAATATTAAGCTGGTAAAAATAAATATTCTTCTACATACAAAACAACATTAAAATGGGGATTTTTTTAGTGCTGGATGCCATTTAGGCCCTAGCTTAGAATGATTCAGAGAAGCACTGGTCATTTATAGACTGCAAGTGTAAAAGAAGAGTCAATGTTACACCAGTTGGAAGAGAAATACATCCGTAAATTTCAAAGCCGATGTCCTCCACCATGGAGAAATTATGAAAAAACTTCACCAATTAAGAGGTTTTTTTCCCCCTATAATTTTGCACTACAGATTTCCAGCATCTTTTGAAATATCTGGTCCTGGCTATTGCTATGATTTGATCCTGTTTGTCGTTACCTATGTCACTGGCAGGAGAATCACTGTATAAACTTTACCCTTTAAACCAAGGATCAAATATTTAGAGAAAATAAGAAAAAATATAACAAAACGCAGCATACCTGTGACCTTCTGCTTGACCTGGTGCCTGAGGTTGGCCAAAGCTTTGATTTTTCAACATAACTTTTGGTATTTGCACACTTTGTGTGGTGTGGTCACCCTGCATATGAAAGATCAGAAGCCCAAGATTTTACATGGCAAGACAACAAAAGGTATAAAGTAGCTCATTAAGTATAGCATGTTAGAGGTTCACTTTGTTTTACAAAACTGATGGTTTATTTGGATTTTTTCTTATCAATTCATTTACAAATATAAACTTTATTTTCGTCTATTTGTTGTAAAGTTAGTATATCATCAGAATGACTTGAAACATTCATATTTTAATAAGTGTAAATTCCACATAGCAAAAATGTGGGTCCGATCATCCTCCCCTGCCACTTTCAGTGGAGTTGCTTCTGATTCACATCCAGTGTGAAGGCAGAATAATCAAACCCATTGAAATGACTGCAAGCCAGAGATGTGGGGTGGAAAATTTTCCAGTGCTTTATTTTTCCATGGGAAATTTTCCATTTCTAAAAATTGTTTCATAACATTTATTAGTAACAGTGAATGGATGCCAATACAATATTAGGCAATCCTGGTAGTTTCATAGTTGTAATTAATGTTTTTCAGGTGATTGTCCCTAGGAAGTGTGTGAGAGAGTACATGTTTTATTGATTTGTAAACAGGAGGGTAAATATACTCACATAATAATCCAAACCAAAAATCAAATTATGAATTCATCTAATTGGCTGTGCAAGTTAAATAAAAACCAAAGCATGGCATACCATGCAGTTTTTTGGGTATGCTAAAATTAGTGTCTCAACAGTTTTCAGTGCCTTCGGTTTTTTGTTTTTTTTTAATTTAAACAAACAATTTAAGGGAAGTATATGTTGTTGTGTATTATCTTTACATTTTTACAAGTATTCCAATAAAAATAATTTCTTTCCACATAAAGCTTTGAATTTGTTTGAATATAACATTTAAACCACATTAAGGGCACTATATTTAATATTTCAGTTCAAATACTTGTGGCTATTGGGACATCACATTAACATGGGGGTACTTTTTTAGTTTTATTTACTAAATATAAGTAAAATAAACATAAAAATCAGATCATGCTCTATTTAGGGCATTGAAAAATTTTCTGGAATATTTTCCAATTCAAATTTTTCTGGAAAACCCACATCTCTGCTGATAGTTAAGGTCATTTAAATGTTTTCCCAAAGTTTTGGTTCCTCTTGCACAATATTAGGGAAGGTTTAATACGTGCAAGCAATCGTAAAGACTAGTACTTCATCCACCAGGCCAGTCTCAATTGCATTTCACTCAATGGTGCCATTAGCTATGGCCACTAAGACAAGAGATGTC